TTCAAATGTTCACAATTAAAATAAGCAAATAATATAACAAAAATAAAAAAAAAAAAAAAACAAAACAAAATATTGAAACGCATAATCTAACCACCTTTACTTCAACATTAAACAATATAAATTCTAATAATGTCAGAAATTTAATATTCCACAAATCACAGAATTGGCTGAACCCAAGAAATGTCTGAAATATAAAATTCAACTTATTACGGAATAATAATTCTAATATAAAAGTTCGAACGAAATCACTGATCAATACACAATCCAATTGCTCCCTATTGCTGATGATCGGTGTTCTTGCCATTATTTCATACAACTTCTCACAGCAATAACATTCAATGGACAAGGAATGAAGTGCCAAACTTCCGTAAATGATATTTCCGAATTCTGGTGCTAAGTAATATGAGAATTCCAACGCGTAAATAAGCATACCAATAATTTATGCAAAATATATGAAGTATTTTCAAAGGCAAACTGATATTATATGAAGTATTTTCAAAGGTAAACTGACGTTATATATCCTAAAATACAAGAAAATGATATGAGCGCTATTATTTGACTATGTTGACAATTTTTTCAGGTGCAATTCTATGCATTGGAGTAAAATATTTTTTGACAAGATCAAGTGTTTGGTGGAGATACTGCTCTGGTCCCTGATCATAGGTACTGTACACAAAACCCGTGTTGTTATTAGTGAATGGTATTGCTGGTTCGATTTGTGTACCTTCATGCCACTCATTGAATGACGTTATCGTTATGATATTTACCTTAAAACATCAATTTTCTTTATTCATATTAATTCAATCTGATTTGTGTTTTAACTTATCCGCTTGATGGTACTTATTAATCTTATAATCCTCTTTGATGGAGTTGTATTAAGGAGGCAAAATAACCAAAAACGATTTATTATTATTTTCTCAAATTAACCCCTAATTGCTAAAGGAAAGGCAAAGATGACGAAAAAAATCAATAGTTGTCCAGTTTACTATGGTATGTGAGTCTTTTGGATTAATTCTGCTGAATCCCATTAAGCCATGTGTTATTTTACTATACTACCAATTTTTCGGAAGCCATCTCTTACAAGTGAGTAAAATACTACTTGGTAGGAACAGGAGCTATAAAGTAACGAGTTTAACTGAACCATCAACCTGTAGATATAAAATAAATTAGTTTGTTTACAATAATTTTCGGAACATTCCCACTACACCTTTGCAATATGAGCCATTTCAAACATATCCGCATAATATTTGCCATTCATCCGATCTCTGTAATTTGCCGCATTCCAAGGTCGCACACGGCGATCATCATAACCAGGACCCACCGAAGGTATAAAAACTAAACCATTTTTCCTAAAACAGCAGTGATTAGTGACAAAATCAATCGCAATCTCGATCCCTCATTCGCTTCGTCTTCACTCTCTTCCTTTTCTCTCTCTGAGGATGGATTTACTTTCCGTATTTTCTTACTTATTTTTGTTTAACAAAGTCCATAAATTCATCGTCAAATACTTTCTTAACTAATACCGATTGAAAATGAATCAGAATTCAATCGATGCTAATTATGAAAGTAATTTGATTCCAAAAAAGTCAGATACAAACCTACAGAAGGCGCTCAATGAAGGCCAAGATGAAGGAGTAGAACCATAAGAAAAGCCTTTAGCTGTAAAGTATGTATAAAATCCATCGAATCCAGCAGCCAACAATGAATGTCTATCTTCTGATTTGACTAAGAGACCTGAAACTTGACATAATCATTGGTAACTAAGTCAAATTTCTCGCTATAAAATCAAAATATACGTTCCAAAACAAAAGATTTTTGATGCTTCAGCGAGTGGAATTTCTGAAAAAAAGGTGGAAATTGAATTTAACAGTTCAAGAAAGTCATATTTGAACTTACCAATAAAAAGAACATCGTATTTGCTATCTCTCACAGTCAACTCCCCAGATGGTCCGGTTAACTTTTTCCATTCATCGGAGGATACAAGATACGAATCGTAAAAGTATAACAACGGTAGATACTGATCACGGCGACTATTTTTTTCATCATTAGTCGCTAAAACCATATTAAATAAAATGAATGTTTCCAACTGTTCTTCTCATAATCAAAGTTTATTAGTGGGAGGAATAAAGTGCATGAGTTGAAGATTCTAACTATATAATTCTTTCGGAATTATCTAGCCTTTACTACTATCAAAATTAGCATGGAGACCTGCACAGGAACGTGTGCACGTGTCCAAATTATTTCTCCAATAAATTAAAACAGCATACCAAAATGAAAATAAAACATTGGAATATTCGTAAACAACAATAAATAAACTCACTTTTTCGTGATTTTGGCCTTTTCATCCTATACAAAGCTGAATGATTACCATATTTGTCAATAATATATTCGATATCAGTACGAAGCGATTCACCATTCCTATTTTTGTAAGGTTCCATATGAAACGATAATTTCATGCGATACTTTGCCGCAACATCTAACAATGTCGGTATTAAATCATCCCACGGATGCCCTGAAAAAAAAAAGTGGTGATTTAGAAGTCTGGAAAATAAAATTATAGAATTTCAGTATTGCTTCTTGAAACAAGTCTTTACTTTGAAGAATGCTTTATAACATATCGCTTCCAAGTTCCATAAATGCTTATAGTTTTCACATGAATTTCCCAGTCGCTCAATGAAAAGGGCTACCCTAATTCTTGAAAGTCTTTAGAAGTTTATAATTGAAATGAAGAAGTAAATCAAAAATCTTGAAGCTGAAAATTTTCTGATCAACAGTAAGCATGAAAGAACAATAAATGACAATACCCTGTTCATCAGAAATTTCTGGAGGAAACCATGAAACAATAACAACATCTATACCAGCTGATGACATCCATTTCATGTGCTGCTCAATTACTGCCGGATTTCGGCTACTATACGGCCCCAAAAATGGATAAAAATTCGAACCGATATCCAACGGTGGAACATGAAAACCTAAGTTGAAATATATGCTTTAATTATCCATTTGTCAGTATCATGCACAATTAAGTGTTGCAGCACACTGCTATGCTTCAAAAAGTGGAAGAAGATACGATTACTTCAAATTTTTATTGTGAATTAGGGGAGCACTCAGTCAAAAAGTTGTATGTGTAACAAGGAAGAAGAGTTTATTGAAAGCAGTATTAAAATTAAAGAATTTTACAAAAGGAAAACGATAGTCTTGTAAGAAATCTTTCAGGACTAGAAATTCCGGAGCACTCAAAAAAATTATAACTACCTGTTGGATAATTCTTTGAAATATTCGGATCCCAATGCGGAATAAAGCGATGATTCCAATGATAATACTTCCCATAATCAAATTCTGGATTTCCATACCACGGATAATAGAATATTTGTACCGAATATTCATCGTCATCCTGAAAGCGGCCTGACCTATTTACAAACTTCAAACCCAAAAATAGTTGTTTCAAATTCACTTCAGACCTGTAAGCATTTTCATAATTAAAAAAAAGAATATACCTCCAGCAAATGTGGTGCAATGGAAGCTGGTTGATTTTTCACATGATGTGTTTTAGCAACGAATTCTTCAACCGTTGATTCGTTCTTCATTATATTCGGCAATATAAATTTCGGATATCCTATTGAGTTAAACCTTCGAACATTATTCTGAATTTATGATAAACTAATGTTAAAATGATAGCTAAAATAAAAGCGAAATCCTGAAAAATAATGTTAAAACGACGACTAAAGAAATTGTGAAATTCCATTTCTCATAAAAGTTTTGGAAATTAATCAGAAATTTTCCATCAAATTGCTAACCCGTTCATTTTGAGTAGAAGTGAAATAAAATATTGTAGATATACTTGCAACCAAAGCAACCAACAGTATCCATCTTATTAAAAAATTACCAACTGGTGCCATGCCTAAACATGCATATCAATGATATTCGTAAATCAAATTGATGTATTAGTCCTTCTATGGAACTGTTACAAATAAAGTTAATAATATACTGACGAAATCAGTAATACCGTCACTATCTCTAAGCCTAACAGAGATAGATGACAGAGAAAAAGAACGATCCAATTTTGTTGGGAGAATTGAAATGCCATGATAAGGCGACAATCAGTTCAGTTTCACTGCTATTTTATCTTTGATATTGAGGAAGTAAGAAATTTTTATAATTTAAATGATAATAGGTAAAATTTATTTTACCAAACTGGACATTCTAATGAAGTTTCTTTAACTTGTGGTCTAGGTTTACGTATATAAATATCTTTTTTTCTTTTGTTTTGTTCGTTATTTGTTTACCAATCAATTTGTTCATATGTTTTTCGGAAAAAAAAGAAAAAAACTTAACAGCGTGCTGAATATTCATATAACCATCTCCTTCATATATGTTACCAATCATTAATCGATTTCAAATAATTTCTCATTATTTTCATTTCGGTTAATTGATTCTATTTAAAAAACCTACAAGATGATAATAAATGATCATCTATGATAAAAGATAATAGATAATCAGATGACTGATCTTTACCAAATGGTAATACCATGTATTCATTTTATGTACTCATCGTATCACAGCATTCAAATCAACTTTTTCCAGTGTACCAATTTTGATTATAACAAAAAACTTTTCGTAAGGTCAAAGTTCGCGAAATATCATACCAATTAAGCACTTAATAGTAATCTAAAATACAACGAGTAATTCTATCCGTATTTTGTCCAATACCATATGTTCACTACAGCGCAATACATCAAACTGTTTACCACTCATTTACCTCTAATGAACAAGACCGCCTAATCATTGCTGTACGTAATCGAACGACGCAACTAAAAATACCCAGAACTTGGACAAGAGCGCTTGCGGCCGGTGAAATTGTGGCGAGTAAACAAATCGTCTCTTTTATTTTTACTTCACTTTGAGAATTACCTTAAGATAAGTTATTTGTTGTAAAAATTAAAAATTAAAACGATTTAACATAGCTATTTGGAAAATTAAAGTATACACAATTTAAAGTATAATGTAGAAAACTTTCTACCGATTGAATAGTATGAATGATAATGATATGGATGACAATGACATGAATGATAATGATATGAATGATAATACTATGAATGATAATGATATAAACGATAACGACATGAACAACAATGATATGAATGATAATGCTATGAATGATAATAATATGGATGATAATGATATGAATTGACAATGGTATGAATGATAATGATATGATAATGCTATGAATGATAATGCTATGAATGATAATGATATGAATTGGCAATGATATGAATGATAATAATATGAATGATAATGATATAAATGATAGTGATATGTATGATAATGGTTTGAATGATAATGATATGAATGATAATGATATAAATGATAACGATATGAATGATTATAATATGAATGATATTTGAATGGAAGATTCATGTAAATATTCAATAATGCATTCTGAAGTTTGACTTATTTATATAACTAAATTTTATGAAAATATGAAAAGTATTTCGAAAATTAAAAAAAAAAACATCGAAAATACTTTTCTATCAGTTATTTTTAAGTAAACATCATTAATTCATGGTGAATTCCATGAATAATAAATCATCCTTTTTCTTTTTTCCTTCATTTTCATACTTAAATTGATTTTTAAAATTGTTAATGTAAATTTATCATTGTGTAATTTACTTTCAAAAACTTCCTATCATTCTAATAACCTGTTTACTTGTTGTATGATGTATTAAAGTACTTTAATAATTTTTTTTTTTTTTTTCAATTTTTCAATTTTCTTTTCTTGTTTTGTTATAAATCAAAATTAAGCAATGTAACATTTTGCGCTTTAAAGCACAAACTAATAGCAATAAATAGAAAGGGCAAAATAATTATTACAAATTAAATATTAAAAAAATTGAAAATTAAAAAAATGAAGAAAAAAGGGAATTAATTGTTAAAATGAATTGATTAATTAAAAAATAAACATTGATTTTGATTTACTGAAAGAAATTAATTCATTAAAATGAAATTAAAGAACGAAAAAAAAAGAGTTAACAAGAAATGTAAACAGTGAAAAATAAAGTTATAAGATATGGTAAATGGAAGAAAAAGAAAAAGGTAGGGTTATAAGATAGAGTTATAAAATGAAATAAAAAATTATAAATATAAATAACTGAAAACTACCAACAATGATTATCTTAATTAATAAGCAAGGTAACATTTAGAAACGATGAACTATTTGCAACAGTTACCTGAGTGAAAGAATACAAATACTCTAAACATTCATGGTAACTTACCTGCTCAAAATGGAATTGTTAAATTTGAAAATTAAAAAAAAAGAAAAAACAATTAAATTCATAATAGACCCTTT